TTCAGCCATTGTATTAGAAGGATCAAGAGGCACTGAGTGCACCACTGGAGTGATAGGTGTGTTCCTAGTTGTCCAACCTGAATTCTGCGCCATTTTGTCGAGCAAATTCTGACCTTCTCTCCAAGTCTTGCTCAAGAATGCCCCACCAGCAGAGGCATCAACGATATTCTTCATGCTGTCTGACAGTCCCATGTAAAACCGTTGTCCCAACTTCTGTTCTGGAACACCATGGTGGGGACACATAACCAACATTCCTTTAAACCTGCCCCATGTCTCGTGTACTGTCTCCATTGGTTTCTGTTTGAAACTCACAATCTCATCAATTTGTTGAGCAGTTTTGTTGGGCGGATGGAACTTGTTGTGAAATTGCTTGACCAACTCAGCCCAAGTTTCCATAGAGTTTATGGGGAGCGAGTTTAGCCAAACCTGAACAGCTCCTATCAACGAGAATGGAAACAATAATAGCCTGATTGCTTCCGGAGTCACGTTGGGTTGCCTTTGAGTTTTGCATATAGACAGGAAGTTCTTCAAGTGCTGCTGAGGATCTTCTGTTTGTGTCCCCGAAAAGAGTCCCTTGTTCTGCAACAAGTGTAGCATGTTATTTGTGATTTGGAACGATTCAGCTTGTATTGCGGGCACAACAATGGCAGTGGGCAGATTGTCAGTTGTGGGTTGTGCCCAGTCATATAGTGCACCTTCAGGCACGGGAGGTGCCAATTGCTCATTCCTGACGTTTTCGTTGGGGTCGTTTATGTCGCCCATGTCAATTTCGAATTTGTGTGTTTGTTGGGGTTGTTGAAGTCTTTTGCTGGCACGATTCAATGCCCGTAATGTTTTCTCGGGGTCTGAGAGTCCTTCGAGTAGTTCTCCAGTCCTCGTAGAATTTCTAGGCATACACCTGTGCACCCAGATCAACAACCGTCAAATTTTCAATGAAAAAGTTGGTAGAGAGAAAACTGACTACAATAAGAATCTTTGTATTTCTGTCAATGGCAATTGATAATTCCGTTAACTCCCCGGAAACGGCGCCAAAATTTGATCACGCCCAACTATGCCTTATAAAAAGGACTCTGCGGACGTTGCAAATATAACCCGAGTATTACGCCCAGGGTCGAATCCACAGAGAGTTAACCTATCAACCACTATCTTCAGACCCACTAATTCTTCAGAACCAGCTTCCCAAATATTCAAATCTCAGTTGAATGTTCTTTAACAACTAGCTTGCAAGTAACTAAATAGCGGTAAACTAAACTAATAAGGTTGTAAACAATTATGAGAAAAATGCTAAGGCAATGATTTCCTCTATTGATGGAATCCCTTCTGTTTATGTTCATACAAATTTACCAACACATCTCTATCCATCATGAACGCTAATCTTACCGTAAATCTCTCCCGAGTAATCACAGTAATTTACTATTGCACTCTCCCGAGATACACTAGCTTACTTTATTTAGCACGATTCACTTTAGATTACACCCAAGACTTCGTTATCCCTAATCCCGCCTTTAAACCCGCAATTATAGATTCCTCTAATAATCTAGGAGTGGTGTTGTTCAACAATACCCTAAATATGCACTCTTTTCCAAGTTATGCACACTAAATAGGCACAACTAATTGAGGATCCTGTCAATTAACTACAACAGACACGAAGTTGAACAAATATAGATTAAACTAGCAATTTGTATTCACATAAACAAGAAGTTCATCACCCAATAGGTTCCATCAAAACCTTAGACAAGGAATTTAGCTACTCATGGCTATGGGAAGATAAACTAAGATTGAATTCATCATAAAAATCAAAAGTAAAGAAGAAAGATGTTTGGAGTATTCTCTCACAATGGTTTTCCTTGCTAAGAAACCTTAAAAATCAATACATCCCTCTCTTGGGCGAAGTCTAATGTTTTAAATAGGGTTTAGGTCTAAAAATCCCGTGTTTTACACTTTAGTCCCTGAAGTTTTCTGCTTCCGCCGCGATTCTGCCGCGGTCGCGGTCAAACCGCGGCCAAAAGCCTTCTCTGATTCTGAATTCATCCGCAGCTGTCTTCCACCGCGGTTCTACCGCGGTCAAACCAGTGCTCTGAATCTTCGGCCTGTTTTGAGTGGTTTACTTGGGGAATTTCACAGTTGGCCTCTTTTTCATCAATTTTGACTCCAAAACTGCTCCTTAGCCTTCTTTATACATATATCACCTGCAAATCATGAAAAGCACTAATAAGAGCATTTTGTTATCACTTTTAGCATTAAAAATACAAGAAGGTGATTATTTAAGGCGTGATTATAGTCAAATTCACCTATTATCAAGTCTCATGTAAGAATCACTTAAAAATTGAAATATAACAAATTAACAATAGGCTATGTAAAATATGCAAAACTTTGAGTACATCACTACCTAAATTATTACCACTAACCATGCTAGATGACTATGTACTTATTAAGTTTAAGATATTTAAAATTTACATTTGAACTAAAACACTACCTTACAAAATACACAGAGAACCAAAAATCCCTTTTACTAGTCAAACATAGTATTTGATAATTCGTTATTACTAGTATAGTATATTGACAAAGATCTGATATGGTCTTTGGTCAGAAGTCACAACTCTAAAGGCTGTTGTGCGAAGTTGACCTTCCAATCGACTCTAACTTGCACATGTTAATAGCAGGCCAAAGTATTAGGCGAAATATTTTTTAAGTCCCCACTAGGGGTGTCAATGGATCGGTTCGGCCGGTTATTTTATAAAATTTATACCATACCAATATTTCGGTTATTCTTTTATGTATAACCAAAATTGGACTTTTCGAAACCGTCCCAATCATGTCGGTTTCTCTTCGGTATCGGTACGGTTCGGTAAATTTTCGCTAATTTTTTTAATTTCTTGTAAAAGTCACTAGTAGAAGTAGAATGCAATAACATACATACTTTTTTAGGACTTAGCAAAACTCTCTAGATATTGTTACAGTTTAAAAGGTGATGAATTAAGAAAATATGAAAGATGGCTAGAGTATATATCAATCAACTATTCTACATCAGCATCAAAAGAAATTAAGCAAATACAAAAACAATATAAATCACACGAGTGAAAAAATATTAACTAAGTTGGGATTCAAGAATAAAGTCTATAGAAGATTAAATATTCAAGAAGATAAATCAAAATCATACGAAAAGAAACATGTTCAATACATTATAGATTGCTACTCATACTCGCTACAATACCTTGTGTCTTGCTAGTGAACATGCTAGAAATAATTTAGTTTCAATAGGAGTATCAAAATAGGTATGGAGGATTTTAAGTTTAATTACGTGTTGGCTTGTAACTGTTTCATAGTTCAAAGGCCCAAGAAAAATTTAATGCTTTATTATTTTTAAACTTAATATATAAATATATTATTCACATTGGAAATTTATTCGGTATGGTTCGGTATTTTTTCGGTTTACTTTCATAAAATAAAAAGCCTACCCTAATTATCGGTACGGTTATAGATTTATATAAAAACCTACGATTTTATTAAAAGAAACCTAAAAGTCGGTTCGGTACGGTACGGTTCGGTCGGTTTAGTCGGTTTTTAAATATCCATTGACACCCCTAGTCCCCACCCACAAACCCTCCCTTTTTTTTTTGGAAGTCCGAACTAAAATGTGATTCTTTTGGACTCAAACATAAAAATAGGTGGGAAAAAAACTGACTACCATTTTATATATAGCGCGGTTATTCACAGCGCTATACCTTAATGGCATGCTTGTCCGTTAAGGTATAGGGCCGGTGAATAACCACGCCATATTTGAACTCAAAATTGGCGGAAGGTATAGCGCACATATAGGAGGCGTTATAATATAGTGCCTCCTTTATATGCGCTATACCTACTTAAAAAAGCGGGCCATCTCCTTCCACTACCAGAAACCAACAGAAACCCAAACCAGCGCCCCCCCTTTTTTTAAGCAAAAAAACTCTATTGGAGCCCACCCGTCCCACAAAAAGTGTATTTTCTCCGTATTGCAGTAAGCTAACACCGGATCCAAGGCGTTGTCGTGTAGTGGTTCTCGTCTATTGCTCGTTTCGGCCCCCAAATCATCAAATTTTCACATTTCAAAAAAAAAATCGTGGTATTCCGACTTACTTTTTGGTAAAACTCATGTATATAAAATGCTTATTAGTTATTTTTTACCGTGGCCTATATTTTTTTATGATCCTTTTTGTGATTTAACTAATTTATTATTTTTTATCCGGATTAGATTATTTATGTGCTAAAAAATTAGTAAAAAAGATAAATTATTATTTTATGAATAATTAATGTTATATGTGATTTTATTGTTGTACGTATATTAATATGTGACTTTATTGTTGTTTAGTTCCCTTAATTGCAATGTAGTGGCATTTAGCATAGTAAAACTGATAATAAATTTTAGCTTATGGTAGTTGACTTTGTTCATGGCCATTTAGAGTAGTGCTACTTTAGTAGAAAAATGTTGGAAACTAACATATAAAATATTAATATAGAAAATTTATCAACCTAAGTATTTGTTATATGAATAATTACTAAATTATCTTTGTAGTTATTGAAATTAATCATTTAATTATTTGTCAACCCCAAAAATATCTATAAAAATAGAAGATAGTTCAAACACAAACTCTCTCGAATTTATGTCAACAAATATAAGAAAATAACATAGAAAACAATAATATAAAAAATTTATCAAACTAAGTAGTTTTATATGAATACTTATTAATTAATCATGTATAGTTATGAAAATTAATTATTTAATTCTATTATACCCAAAAATAGCTGAGTAAGAAACAAACTTATAAAATAATAAACTAACATACAAAATAATGTAAGAAACTAACATATAAAATAATAATATAAAAAATGTATCAACCTAAGTAATAATATAGAAAAAATATCGAGTAAATATTAATATAAAAGATATTGCAATATAAAGATGTTAAACAATTAAACAGAAAAATACTTTAATTAATATTGTTCAATTTACAGACATCATCATGGAGGTTCCCTATGTGCATCCCGGACCTGCATCTCGAGAGCTACTATTCTTACAGGGCAACCATAGGTCTTCACACATCTGGGATGGACAGTGTCTGTCCCAGATATTCCGCCCTAGACATATAGATGATATGTGGGAGTTCATTAGGGGCCACCCACTGCATCCTCGTATAGTTAGACGCCTTCAGGATACGGGTTTTTACAGGATCATAGAGATTGGCCGGTTGCAGTTCAACTGGGCGTTGATCACTGCTATTATAGAGCGGTGGCGACCGGAGACACACACGTTTCATCTACCCTCGGTGAGGCTTGAGGACGTGGAGGTTCTTTTCGGGCTGCCTGTTGATGGTATACCTATAGCTTACCCACATTCTCTTAGAGACTATAGGGGAGAGGATTACCTTCATATGTTACAGCGGCTCACCTATTTCCAGCCAGCGGAGCCGACTGCATTGAGTGGGGCCAGCCGATTACAGCTGAAGCCCATTCGGCAGTATCTGGTGGCGATGGACGTGGAGATTACGGATGATTCACCGCCAGAGGATATCGACCGGCATACAAGACTGTTCCTGCTGTTGATGTTTGATGGTATACTGTTCCCGGACACTTCGGGAAACCTAGTCACTTGAGATTTCTACATCATATGGAGCGGCTAGATGATTTATTTGGTTATGGCTGGGGTGCAGCTATTCTCGGTTACCTGTATAGGCAGATATGTCAGGAGTGCAGGGGCACCCAGAGAGATGTTTTTTAACGATGTTGCATGTGAAAACATAGTCGATTCTATTCATGATCATAACATACATAGCAAAAAAATACCTTAAATTTTACGTCCACAATCTATATTAGGTTTGGGCCTGGGAGCGGTTCCTACAGTTCCAGCCACCTCTACCACCAGATCGCTCCAGATGCACCACCTCCACCGTTTCTCCCTTTAGCTTGGAGGTGGGTTGATAGGTGAGGCTACGCATGCCAGGTCGAGGCTCGACATCATCTCCCTTATTACAGGGATTTGTTGGATTTACTTGAAGGCCTGCATGTACATATATACTTAAGTTTACTTGGCCTGACTTGATATGTGTTGTGTTTACTCACGATTCTTGTGTTTAATAAATAGTTCGTATGGAGGCCATACAATGATGTGCTCATAGTTGGTTTGCCCGATTATTGCTCCCGCAGCCGAGCTATGTGGAGCTCTTCCGTCCCACTGATATGTCTCGATATAGTCGAGCATCATGCCACCGAGCGAGTCCTTCGCCAGTTTGGTCCCCCGCAGCTTGTACATATTCTGCCCCTTGGCACGGGACACATTACGAGCGGGATGATCGTTGCAGGGTTGACCAGACATACATGGCCTGGCTAGAGGCGCAGATTGAGGTTTGGGACCAGAGGTATGACCTGATTCCGCCATACCCTCCACCTGACCGTATGGAGGGAGAGCATGAGTACATGGGTTGGTATCGCAGCGTTACCCGACTTCTCGTGGGGAATCCCGTTCATTGCACTGGTGGTCAGTACATTTCATACGCCGGGAGGCATGAGGCATTGGTATGTTATTTGTCATACTTACTTATGACGTTACATTATCCTTCCGTAATTAATATTTTACATGTTATGCAGGCTATTGGCTTACATCAGTTCTACCAGTTGGGATTGGAGATGCTGCAGCATACAGGCGAGGTAGCGGCAACTTGGCATGTGTTTGACCTTCGGATTACTGATCTTGCTTCCGACTCATTGAGACGTGCCCGAGAGGATGAGCACTTAGGATACGAGGCTGCTTATGTGACGCCTGAGGAGTACCATCATGGGCCACCAATGGAGCCTGAACGTGGTAGACGTGGCAGGCGTGGCCAGAGAGGAAGGGGTGGCCCACGAGGTCGCGGTGTTCGGCAAGGACGGGGTCCCCAGCAAGGGGGCATTGAGGCACCCCTGGAGGATATTAGAGATTATCAGCCGGGTGAACACCCTGAGCTACACGATGCTCCTCACGATATGCCGGCATTCAGCCTTTAGCTGTCGCCAGGGACTTCGAAGGTGACCCCGTCAGCTCCATTGTTGATCACGGGCACGACCATTACGCGGCAGGAGTGGGATCAGTGTTTTCTTGATCCCTCAGAGCCATCGACGGTTGTTGCTGATCGTCCGATACGAGAGGTGCATAGTGGGTGACGACTGAGTTATGGATCATCACCGATGGATGCTGAGGATCTTTCACATACTTCATCTACTTCAGTGCACCTTGATGTTCCGACAGAGCATTATGGCGCTACTCACGCGCAAGTTTCTTTGTATTACTGTTATTTCAATTTGTTTTTATGTCATTGATTAGTCAGTAATATCTAAAGTGTTTTTATTTTTTGTAAAGATTTCGTCATCGCCCGTCACCGAGGCCACATTGTGCGATACTGACTTGTCAGAGACTGATAATTTTATTCAGGAGCCCGCTGAGACCACGGTATGACCATTAAAAAAAATTCTAACACGTACATTAGTATTTTATATTTGATATACTAAAATATCTTAATATTCTGTAGGTTACTGCTGGCCCAATGGCCGCTTCTACCGAGTTTGCCAGCCTTACTGATGATCATGCTGCAACGCATCCCTCGATAAAGAGGCGACGTGTTGAGGATGATCCTAATAACGTAACCGGACAGGATGGGATGCACCTCAGGCCAACCAATGCTTTAAAGCATACAGGCTGTGGGACTCATTGATATGTATTATTAGTTGTATATATGACATTCAATATATAATTGCAACATTATTTATGTTTTATATAATTTGCGCATGTATTTTTATTTCTCGGGTTATTTATTAGTTTAACACTAGAACACACAAAAAATGACAACTTAACATAAATTTGAATTTGTTACCAATTAAAGATAATACATGATACGTACAATATAAAAATAAAATACTACACTAAACGCATCCATGTGTTTGTTTAGTCACTACCGCCCATCATTCTATGCTTCAACCACTTAAATTTCTCTTCCAACCTATTTTTCTTCCGCCTCTTTTAGTTTCTCTTTCACTGCCTCCAGTTGTTCTTGTAGTTTCACGATTTGGAGTTCGTATTCACCGATTAGATTCCAAATGTTTAGCAAACATGATTTGTAGTATTCCTGGTTAATGGATTCATCATACCATTCTTCAAAACCACATTGATTTTCGTCCTACCAATGGGAGAATAACACAAGACTATTAATTAACAAGTTATATAAAAAGTATTAAAAAATATTTTTTTCCAAGAATAATAACTTACAATTTGTTTACACATCCATCGTCTGTGCCCCAGATTGCAATTTGACCAACATGGTTTCAAAATGGCACGTTTGCCACAGTAACACCTTGGTACATCATTGCATCCAGATATGTCGTAATGCTCGAAAATGAAAAATTAATGGAATGTTTTTCTATTCGTTTCGTTACAACGCAAATAATAACTAAAATGCGCGAGGTTTTTATAGGAAACTAAGAGTTATTTTAGGTTACATAACACATATGGGTGAGGCGCTATGTTTCGCGTGATAATGATTCTTTCGGGTACGAGTGGTTCCAGCATTTTCAGGTCGACAGCTTTTTAGATCGACAATTTTGTTAGGTCGACATGACAATACACATAACGTATGTTGGTGCGGCGCTATGTTTCGCGTGATAATGATTCTTTCGGGTACAAGTGGGTCCAACGTTTTTAGGTCGACAGCTCTTTCAGATCGACAACTTTTTCAGGTCGACAACTTTTTCAGATCGACAACTTTTTCAGGTTGACATGACAATACACTTAACGTATATTGGTGATGTGCTACGTTTAATATACAAGCTCGTGCAATTTAGCTCTTCTAAAGTTGAACCAAGAGATCAGTATTCAAAGACCATTTGAAGAACCATTATAGCATCCATTTCAAAAATGCCACTAACATTTAATAAGTGATTTAAGAAGAGGCAAAAAGGTGAAGGTAGTTCAAAAGATCCACATGGAACACGTCATAACACAATCGACCCCTACCTTGAAAAAATATGCTAGGTTGCTATACTGATTTGGTTGATGACAAGTGGTATGGTGTTCTACGTCCCTTGAAAAATAAGCCTATCAATATATACATTGATCTTAAAGTTGCAGGGTACATTATTGAGGACGAAACGCATTCTACAAAACCTAAAGGTATGCGAATTTGGGGAGAAAAACTACAATGGGTTCCCCTTTTCTCAAAATGATGTGATTATGAAGTACTATGTCGCTGGCAAGGGCTTGTTGTACCACAAGCACTGTCTGCAACCTTCCAAACAAACACACACAAAGATGAACCATAAATGATTCGGCATTTGATGAAGGAGATTTTAGAGATGGAAAAGACACTACCTGTTCATCATGCAATGGATGATCTTAACTACCTGGAAGGAACAGAGGATCAGTATTGGGATTTATTAAAGAATGAAATGCATACAGACAATGATTATCCTATTTTCCCAACAGTTGTCGAGTGAGAGGGACTATCTATGTTTCTACCATAGACGTTGGACGTAGACGTCCCATATTGTTGTAGAAATCAAGCAAGTGGTCTTATTGATGATAGCAATGAAATACGAGAAATATGTGTCAACTGGGGCCTAGATTACGATGTCCTCGGCCCGGAAGGGTGCGTACAAGATCTTGACGAAGAAGATGAAGACAGTGACAATGAAATAGTGCCAGACGGTGACGATAATAGCGAATGACAATTATTATTTATTTCTTAGGGTGTATGTTAAATTGTTGTATTGAATATTTAATGCTAATTATCAATTAGATTTAACCCCACTGGAAACATAATTTTATTTCATAAATTTTTCAAACCGAACATTTACAGACATTTAGTACAACAAAAATACTGCAATAAAACATTACGTTTATCCTTGATAATTAGGCACATTTGATGAAATACCACCTGGAGCTGAATTATCACCGCTTCCCAAAGCAGCTGAAGGACATTTACGGGGGTCGTGTCCTGTTTGGGAACATATGCCATATTTGCGCACATAAATGGTATCACAAACATCCATTTGGTTCCGTATTCGCGTTCTTTTTTGCACTTGCCATTGATGCACATAATCCTTGTTACACACCATTTTAAATGGTTCTGGTGGCTAATAATGCTCAACACCCACTGGCTGCAACTGTTCACTATAGGTGTTTAAGTGTGCAGCAACACTATATTCTTTATCAACATACCTCGTTGCCGCGAAACCTGTATGTTGAAAGCACTTCATGGCATGCGAGCATGGAAAGTGATAGATTAACCATTTTCCACAGGAGTATAATCTTCTGGCTTCATTGACGGTGTGCGTATTATTCACGCGGTTTGTGATGCAGACCAGTGCGAACTTCAAAAATATTTGGCTCGCTGCAATACTGCAAAATGAGTGCCATTGTGCTCACTTCCTATATTTCTCAAATCGTTTCATTGGTTGTGGCATAAATTCAACACCCCTTTCCATCAATGACGATACACCTCTAGATCTTTCAACAAACCTCTCCGCCATCTGCTTGAATGACATCCGCACCATGGCAATGACAGGCAATCCACGTGCAGACTTTAATAACCCATTGAACGACTCTGACACATTTGTAGTCAAAATTCCC